AATAAACTGTACTAACAACATTTACCGGCCTCAGCGGCCGAGTAACTTCAAAGAAAATATGCGTCCTCCGACAGGAATCGAACCCGTATCCTATACAGAACTTTCATATAGATTGACGTGCTATAGCAGTTTAGCTACGAAGGAACAACTGATTTTACTGTTTTTACACTACAATTTTCCATGATATCTCTTGAACGTCCATATCTCCTCGAGGCGTATGTAAACGTAAACAAATGACGTCACACACTACGCAACGGACAAAGTCCGACAATTATTTTAATATATTTTATTGTTATACGTTATTTATATAGACACAAATATTTACGTAAATGCTCTGTTTATAATAAACAGTATTAACTATCTACATGTCTGCCATTCATAAAAATATATGCATTTACTGAGAGAAAGTTGTCGAGGAAAAAAGGGCAGAAAGAAAAACGAGAAAGCTAAAAGCAAAGAAACAAACAAAACAAAACAACACGGGAATTTAGAAGAACGAGGAAGTATGAAAAAAATAAATAAAACAAAATTAAAAATGTGACGAAATGTTTCAGATGTCGACTCGAAATGCAACGACGTAATCCCGAGAAACCTGTTTCTCTTCTATTTGTGACCTCAATGCTAATCCTGATCTATTAGATTGTAGAGTAAAAGACAGATATTTACATTTAAACAGCACCGCGCGATAACCTACACTTATTTCTATGTCTCGAAAGTGTGTCATAATAAAACCAATACATAACAATGTATTTCCAATATTTGAATTGATTTTACAACAGAAATCTTCCTTCAATAGCTTCGAACTATGTTCTTACCTTATTCGAAACAAAATCTACCTATCTATCTATCTCTCTCTGAATATATATATATATATATATATATATATATATATATATATATATATATATATATATATATATATATATATATGTCAGCCTAAAAGAAAAGAGTTCTTTGCTAATGACTTATAAAGCTGAAGAAATAGGATAATTAGGTCCATATTCTTCCCGGAAACTAGAAAAATGGTCAAAACCTGGGAAAAAAAATACCAAAATTACTTTCACACACACACAAAAACACTCACACACACACACACACACACGTTCACTCACTCTATCTCTCTCTCACACATACACACCAACATACACACACACAATCTAACAGCAATAAATAGCTCATAAATCGGCAGTAAGTTGCAGAAAGCTCCTGAAGAGCGGACTGAACAACTGCAAAACTTAATCTATGAATCTCTAAATACGAAGTACTGAATTTATATCAATCAAGTAATAAATTTTATTTGTATTAATTATATATACATACATATATATATATAATTTTCATCGCCATCACTTAAGAAGACACCAGAAGTGTTGAAACAAAATGGCTACTTTGTAGTGATTTTATAACATTTTTATGTTATATTTTTTTAATAAAAAAAAAGAAAAAAAAAAATTGTTTCCAGGGTATGGCTCCGGGGCCAACAGTCTAACTCTCTGCTTTCGAGCGGAGAGGAACGCGTACGAGGCTCCGCCGAAGGGCAGAGTCTCGTTCGGGGTGGTTGACTGCCCCTGAACTCGTTTATGCGGGTTCAAAGAGGGAATATTTTTGGCTGGGCCTACGGGCTCGGAAATCCCACGTTAAACCCGGCCTTGTGCCATATGTAACCCTCGTGGAGGTGGGGTAGCTAAATATCATTTTTTAATAAATAGTATTTGCTCTGTATGCAGCACTCTCTTAAGAATAGTGTTTTTGGTTATTGTAATTTTATTCTGTCTGCACCAGTCTTATACTTGGCTATATATATATATATATATATATATATATATATATATATATATATATATATACTATATAGTAGAGCCCGGTGTTGCCCGGGGATGTAACAGTAAGAGATAGATCAAGTATCGACCATTATAAAGACTGAAAAATAAAACTGACAAAGATTATTGTTTAAGGTTGACGGACACGCATGTCTTAATTAGTTTTTTGGGGGGTTTTCAATCGTTATGAGTCTACCGATTGAATAGAATTTTATTATAAACAATTGTCTTGTAAATGGAATTTTTAAAGCATTCTGAATGTAAAAATAAAGAAAAAAAGTGTGCAAGACAATAAGAAACACTGTCAAGTGAAGTTTTGTTGAAATTGGTTGAAAAATTTAGGAAATCTGATCCCATATATAAACGAACACACACGCACAAACAACCTGGGTTTTTATAATAAGTATAACTCGATATGAGTTGTCCCCCTTTCATTCTCATGATGCCTCTTAATTGTGTTTTCAAATTGATTTCGTGCAAAAACAATTGTGTTTTTCCAATTTTTGGCCCTGTCAGAACCAAGGCAAGGTAATTTTACGTAGTCCTGTGAAGTTTTGTTGAAATCGGTTGAAAAATGTAGGAAATCCGATCCAATATGTAAACGTACAGACACACACACACACACACACACAACCTGGGTTTTATAATAAGTATGATATATATATATGGGGGTGAACTCTCCCGTCGTATTCGACGTATGAGGGTCAAGCAGCTAAGTACCTAGGAACCGACAGGCCAGACACCAGCACGAATGATTTGATTCTAGTGGTGAAGGCTTTTTACAGAACCAACCACACTTTTTGAAGTACCGAATACAGGGACCTGGTGCACTACGTGCCACAAGGTCCCCAAACGACCCTCCGCGGAGTTGTATTTCTAGACCAATTGCTATCCAAGGCTATAGAACCCAGTCTGTCCGGTCATTTACCGATAGCTGAAGGGAGATGAATAGAAAAGGATTAATACCTTTCTGAAAATAATTAATACCTTATTCACGTAAGTGAAAGTAATGGATTCAACTGGAATTCGAACTCGGCTCTCCGATTCTTCAATCCGATATATATATATATATATATATATATATATATATATATATATATATATATATATATATATATTATATTAAATAAAAAAAGACCACTTTAAGGTTCCATGTAATAAATTATTTCACCACAGCCCTTTTAAAAAGGACTGCGAATCATCAGACTTTACTTCCAAAAAAAAATGAAAAGAAAATTTACACATTTTTGACGGGCCGTATTAAAACATATGTAAATTAACGAAGTGAGGAGGAGAGAGAAGACATGAGTGAGTTAGCAGATATTGACACATTAATAAACGGTTTAAATGTGTCAATATTATAACTGATCATTTTTTAGTTTTTATAAACAATATATATATATATATATATATATATATATATGCAAGCTTCATTAAATAAGACAGACAAGTTAGTTTAAGTTTTTTTAATATAATTTCTCATATGATCCTACAATGATTATATTTCATTTTGTAAATTATACAAAAACTGTACAAAGGTTTTATTATTCCATGAGCTTTCGGCTATACATTTAGCCATTTTCAAGGATGGAATATATTTACTCTTAACTGGAAATAGATTGTTATATGTATTTAGTATTATAGAATGTTTTATTTTCATAACACAGTCAAAATATTGTGTCTATGTTCATAGTTGATATATTGAGTGTTGTTTATTGTTTTTATTAATAAGGCTTCCATTATTAATATTTCTAAAATAAACATAGTCATGTACATAATATTAGACAGATATTAGTTGATAACAATAATGCTTACATATACATGCAGTATATACACATATACATGCAGTATATACACATATACACGCAGTATATTGAAGGCGATCTACATTAAAACAAAGCAACCCTCACTCAACAAAATTACATCTCAATCTAGTCACAACACATTATATTGCATCTATACATATGGTTCTGCTGTTAATATTTCGATCTCCCACGTGGTACGACGTCATAGAAGCGCATCATAAATTTACGACTTGTATCTGCTATTCCGCGACCGTTATAGTCGCATACCAGTCTTCTATGTCAACATAACAAGATATCCTCTTTGATGGTGAATATCTTTGTTTAAATGTCCGTATAATCAATCTGAAGATGGCTCATGTGAGCCGAAAGCTTAGATCAACGAAGAGCAGTATAAAAACATATCCAAATGTTGGAAAATTTTTGTCTTTATTTCCTCCCGAAGATAAAGCGAATATACGAAGTTTAGAACGGCTCATGATCAAACATAATAGACATTCGTTGTCTGTTATATTTAACAATATATATTTGAAGTACTCCCTCTCTCTCCCTCTCTCTCTCTTTCTCTCATATATATATATATATATATATATATATATATATATATATATGTGCGCGTTTGTGTATGTATGTAATATATACGTTACGCCTATAGCAATTAAGAAGTGTTTCTTCGCTCCTCAGAACCTTCAATCACCCGATCGGATGCCTTGCTGCAGGATGTGGTTTATCATCATACCCAGGACGACCGAAGGAATGACATCAAGCCTAGAAAATGAACTGAGGAAACGTTTTACTTCAGTACATCAATCGGTAAGTGTTCGTCACAACTTAGGCATTGGTATGGAACGCCATACAGCGCCATAATTGAATTGCGATGATATTATTTGTCACGGCCAAAATGAGATCTTATGTAGTTACTTCGTTTCTACTTCGTTATATGCTGCGATTTAATGTTTTTTTTCGTAAATCGCTTTTAAATTTACTTTTCTATTATCAGAAGTGTTTGCTTTGACATGACTCGGAAGAGGTGAAGGGTCAAAGGAAAAGAAAAGAAAGAAAGATAAAAAAGAAGATTTTGACCTGGTAATTAGTTTTAATGGCGGTTAAAATATATAAAGGTAGAAATATGCTTTTGAATTATAAGCGAAAAAGAAAGAAAGAAAGAAAGAAAAAAAGAAAAGAAAGAAAGAAGAAAAGAAAAAAAAGAGAAAGAAAGAGAGAAAAAGAAAGAAACAAAGAAAAGAAAGAAAAAAAGAGAGAAAATAAGAAAAAAAAAAAGAGATTTTGAAAAGAGAAAGACTTTAAAAGAAAGAAAGAATGAAAAAAAGAAAGAAAGAAATTAAAGTTAAAGAGATATTTGAAAGAAAGAAAGATGTTAAAAAGAAAGAAAGCAAGAAAAAAGCAAGAAAGAATTGAAAGAAAGAAAGAAAGAAAGAAAGAAAGAACGAGAGAGAAGGAAAGAAAGAAAGAAAGAAAGAAATTCATTGAAAGAAATTTTTAAGAAAAAAAAAAAGATTCTTTTTGAAAAAAGAAAGAAACAAAGAAAGAGAAAGAAAAGAGAGAGAAAATAAGAAAGAAAAACAGAGAGAGAGAAAGAAAAGAGAAAGAAAGATAAAGAAAGAAAGAAGGAAAGAGAAAGAAAGAAAGAAAGAAAAAGAAAGAAAGAGAGAGAGAAAGAAAGAATGAAAGAAAAAGAAAGAAAGCAAGAAAGAAAGAAAGAAAGAAAGAATAGAGAGAGAAAAAAGAAAAAGAAAGAAAAAAGAAAGAAAGAATGATTTGAAAAGAAAGAAAGAAAGAGGAAGAGAAAGAAAGAAAGCAAGAAAGAAAGACACAAAAAGAAAGAAAGAAAGAAAAAGAAAGAACGAGAGAGAGAAGGAAAGAAAGAAAGAAATAGAAAAAATGACAGAAAGAAAGAGGAAGAGAAAGAAAGAAAGACGCAGAAAGAAAGAAAGAAAGAAAGAAAGAAAGTGAGAGAGAGAAAGAAAGGAAAAAGAGAGAGAAAGTATGAGAAGTGGACTAAAAGTTGGAGGGGGAGGGAGAGAGTAGAGAGAAAGAAAGAAAGATCACCTAAAACGTAGAAAATGTGTATAAAGAAAATAGGTAGGCGACATAAAGAAAAGAGAAAGGAAACAAACAAAGAAAAAACAAAAACAAAACAAAAAAGGAACCCATCTGAAATAGAGGGGAAATCTTCTTCTCCCTTCCCTTGACTAATCTTGGGTTGTCTCCATTAGAACCAAAAGGGAATATCAAAAGAAGCATTATGATCAGGAAGCGGCTGTGTATCTTCACACATCTGGTATTCCCATCCGTTGGCAAATAGCAGCAAAACCTAACGATATTGTCGTCTGTTGATGCAGCAGCATCAGTTAGTAGTAACGGCATTTCAAATCCGAAACCTTGTTTAACATCAGAGGCGTTATCGCCCTGGAAGCGTTGCTAGATTTTCTAACAGCAACCGTTGTGTAAAATTACATATATATATATATATATATATATATATATATATATATATATATATATATATATATATATATATGTAATAGACTATATATATATATGTAATAATATATATATATATATATAAAATGGACATTTATTTCAAAAATTTGTTTATAATAAAAAGTATTAACAACAAAACCTCAATGTCCGAAAATTTTCAATAGAAAATATCGTCCTCCGACAGGAATTAAACCTCTATCCTATACGGAACCGTCATCTAGCCTGACTATTTTACCGATTGAGCCACAGAGGAGCGTTTCAGTTAGCAAAGGTCGATTTTACTGTTTTAAACCTCGCTAACCTAAGCGCTCCTCAGTGGCTCAATCAGTAAAAGCACGACGGGCTATATGACGGTTCCGTATAGGGTACAGGTTCGGTCCCTGTCGGAGGACGCATATTTTCTATGAAAATTTCTCGAACATTGATGCCGGTAAATATTTAATACTGTTTATTATAAACAGAGCATTTACTTAAATATTTGTATCTATAAAAAGAGCATATAAACATAAATAATGTCTTTATATATATATATATATATATATATTTATACGCACGCTAGAGGCACAAGTTTTGGAGCCATCTTCTGGATTCCGAAGAATTGCCTAAAAATTTAAGATTACTTGCCATTTTCAAAACTAATTTACTAGTTCTCTTCGGATCATTGGAACTTTCTTTCCCTGAAATATTCCATTATATATTCAATAATTATAGCCATAATAATAATAACAAAATTAACTTATTAATGAATACAGTTTATTTTAATCTTGTTGCCTAAACTATCTGGTTTTGCTAATGGATTGCTTTGCTTTGTTTTATGGCATATCAACCACAATGGGTTATTTAATGCCGATTGTTATTGCTGCTAATATATAGACATTGTGGGCACCCTGTAAATTGTTGCTTAAAATATTATTCAAATATGGGTATCCACTACAAATAAATGTCAAAAATGTTTTATTTCCCAAGTACTTTCCATCTTTTTCTGAGTATTGTATACTATAAGTCAAATGGTATGTACATTATTGACCTTATTCGGACTATCGTCCTCATCTTTGTCTCCATATTTATTACAACGTTTCGGCAGTTGTACGCTCCGGCCTTCTTCAGGTGGTTGGAATGTAGAACTGAACCCTAGAACAGTCTACCCCAGTGAACGAAATAAAGGGTTCAGTTCGACATTCCAAACACCTAAAGAAGGCCGGATTTAACAATTTTTGTGAAACGTATTAATAAATATAGCGACAAAGATGAGGACAACAGTCCGAATAGTGTAAATAATATATATAATACCTCATCTCAGAAATATAGACAGATATAAAAACTATGTGTAGCTAGCCATTACTGAATTTTTCTTTTTACGTTTAAATGCAACAGCTGACAATTATGCTTTAGCATTCATAAGAACGTGAAAAAAATTATCCATTAGAGAAAAAAAATTCAGTAATCGATAGCTACATCTAGTTTTTGCCTTACCACTTTCACCCCAAATGATGATCTCAGAAAGAGATGGAAAGTACTTGGGAAATAAAAGTGATTTTCACTGTTACAGTGCATTTCTTGCATCATTTGATTGTAATACACAGAAAAATATTCGTGAATATGAAAGGATTATGCTAAAAATAAGCAAACATAATGTTTGTATCTGTCTATATTTCTGAGATGAGTACACTATTTACATTATTCGGACTACTGTCCTCATCTTTGTCGCCATATTTATTACAAGGACACATGACAGAGTGGATAAAGGCATTGGTTAGATCCAGTGACAGGATTCAAAGAGTGTGAGTTCAATACCCGGTTAAGGCAGTGGAGAGGGGAATTAACAGGAAATAACTAATAACTGACATCCATTAAATATGGTACGTGGAACTAGAACAGTCTACCTCAGTGAGCGAAATAAAGGGTTCAGTTCGACATTCCAACCACCTGAAGAAGGCCGGAGCGTACAACGGCCGAAACGTTGTAATAAATATGGCGACCAAGATGAGGACAATAATCCGAATAATCTAAATAGTATAATGTTTATAATTTATTTAATCAGACATGCCTCAAAGAGAATTTGCTGCCTAAATACACAAATATATATATGTTGTGATTGAAAAGTAACTCCCTATTTTATGTATGATGGATTCTCCCGTCTTGTAAAAATTATAGTTAAACAGGAGAGTCCATTATACATCAAATCGGGAGTTACTTTTCAATCATTTTCTATATTAGTGAACTCTACCGTCGATTTCGAAGTATGATGACCGAACCTTTCAGTTTTAGAACATCCAGATGACCTACACATATGATTCGATTGGAATGGCGAAATCTTGTACAGAACCAGCCACACTTTCCGAAGCAATTGATAATCGAGAAAGATTGTACATTGGATACAAAGTTTCCAAACATCCTCCCAGAGATTTGAATTCAAAAATTTTCTCTTCGAAGACTGGCTTCCGCCACATTGCCCAACCTATCTTGTTATTTAATTTAAAACTTGAAGAAGATGGATTGATACTTTTCCCAAGAACATTAGCGTGTACGAAGTTTCTCGTCTGACTGCTCCCAAATTATAACTGTCTTTGTTGAATATAGGTTATTTGAACTTAATGCCGATAGATTATACATTTTTATGTTTAGTTTTATTGAGTACTAGCCGAATTACTCGCGCCTTGCTGCGTATCACACATTTTTTGTAAGAAAATGATGATTGATTTTAAGTCATTGTTATAAATTGTGGAGAAAGATGATTCATTTCAATATTACTCAATGCGACCTCCATCTTCTGGCTTTCTCCTTCTATATTTTGGATAGGAGTCATTCCTTCGTTCAAATTTAAATCAAAGGGAAAAAAGCTAGGCAGGAGTGCCACTAGTACGTAGGGGGTTACAGAGTGTGAACATAAGAGAAAAGATTGGCTATAAGGGGACTGAGAAAAGGATAGGAAGAAGACGGAATCAAGGCATCAAAAGATGTTAATTTTTGAAGATTGTAGTTATTAGGGAAGCAAGTATGAGGAAGGGAGTTACACTGTCGGGAAGTGCGAGAGCAGTAGCCATTGAAGAAGTGGCGGTTACATTTAACTATTTCAACAGTAAAAGGGTGGGACCTAGATGCCAGTCTAGTAGCACGCTTAAATTTATGTAGTCGCGGCATTAGGGAAAAAGATCGACAGAACAGTAGCCATAGAAATATTTGTAGAAAAGACAAAGAGAAGCCACGTCTGTGAGTAAGTGACTGGAGTCGAGATACCAAGTTAGGATCGATTACATTGCAGATCCTTCTTTGGATTTTGTTGAGAATCTTGAGATGAAGAGCTGGGGCACCAGACCAGATATGGCAACAGTATTCAATGCACGGATGAATGGTAGATTTGTAGATGTGCAGGATGGACTTTGAGTTTTGGCACAACACAGTGAACCCAGTTTCCTTGCAATAGATGCAGCTTTTGATTCAAAGTTGTTGCTCCACTTCAAGTCATTCGAAAGGATAAAGCATAGAAAGCGCACAGAGACTCATGGAGTTTATTTATAATTTTCAAAAGAGTGCCAAAAATTTAATAAAAATCAAACTTTGATTTAAAATTTATAAGTTTTTTACATTGTTCGGACAGTGCCATGTATCCTTGAATTAACAGAACATAACTGATAACTGACATCCATTAAACATGGCACGTGGAACTAGAACAGTCTACCCCAGTGAGCGAAATAAAGGGTTCAGTTCGACATTCCAACCCCTGAAGAAGGCCGGAGCGTACAACGGCCGAAACGTTGTGATAAATATGACAACAAAGATAAGGATGATAGTCTGAACAATGTAAATAGTGTACATAATTGCTCATCTCAGAAATATAGACAGATACTGAAGAAGGCCAGAGCATACAACGGCCGAAACGTTGAGAAATATGGCAACAAAGATGAGGATGACAGTCCGAACAATGTAAATAGTTTACATAATACCTCATCTCAAAAATATAGACAGATACTGAAGAAGGCCTGAGCGTACAACAGCCGAAACGTTGTGATAAATATGGCAACAAAGATGAGGATGAAAGTCCGAACAATGTAAATAGTGTACATAATACCTCATCTCAGATATATAGACCGTTATAATTTCTTGGAGTGAATTAATATTTGCAATAAGTAACATTATTTGGGGTGAATTAACAGAAATGGTCCCGGTTTGTAAACGACGTACGACATCTGACTGATTACACACGCAATACAAATTTGATTAAATTTTGAAAGACACTTCAGAGATTTTCCAGACATTATGCTACAGCTTTCGCTGGGGACATTTGTGTTCACTCAAGAAAATCTGAAGTTAAACCTGGTATTAAAGACAACAGCCGCTCTGTCCGAGTCTCGTGGGATTGTCTCGTCTCCACGCCGCTGCTGCTGCTTCTGCTGCTGCTGCTGCTGGTTCGTTCACTGACAAGTGATTAGTGATATTCATTTCGTTTCATTCTTGCTTTTGGCTACGACGATGACGACGACAGCGCAGTTATTGTTCTCCGTATAAAGATTTAGACAAGTGGGCTATCAAGTGATTTTGACGGGTGTCACGTGCTTCCTTTCTTT